CGTAACCACCCGCTGTTTTGAAGGGTGTATAAGCCCGGTGCGTAACCACCCTCTGTTTTGAAGGGTGTATAAGCCCGGTGCGTAACCACCCTCTGTTTTGGAGGGTGTATAAGCCCGGTGCGTAACCACCCTCTGTTTTGAAGGGTGTATAAGCCCGGTGCGTAACCGCCCTTCGTGTCGGAGGGTGTATACGCGCAGCCTTTGGAAAACCTTCGGGGGTTTAAATTGGCCCCTATCCGAGCGGGTGTTAAAAACAGATCACCGGAAAAATGCCGACGAGTCGGTAACGGCTGGGTATCGGGTGGGTTCAACTGATGGGGAATGGGCAGCGAGTAGATGCCTATGGGCCAAGCTCTTGGGAAGTACGTGATCGGATGAAGGAAATCCTACCTGTGCAGGCTCCTAATGTGTAGCACGTGAACATTTCATTTACGTCACCCGGGGTTGGCCATGGCTGCCACCTCCAAAGTCGCCTTTCTGGGAGCCTGCAGAAATGGAAATGGCAACTCCGCTACATTTGGCTCAGCTGATATAGATTTACTGCGCTCAGTTTACCCGCCAAACTCTCTCAGTACTCACTGTCAGGTGACGAAGCTATGATGTCGCCTCTGAAAGTTTGTGTTCGCAGAGTTGAGATATAACAGGTTTTGCTGGCTGTTGTCAGCGAACGGCATCTTTGGGCATGAAATCAATTTGTTGAGCACAGTCTGAGGGCATAGCTCAGCAAGCAAGCAAGCTCAGCATTAACAGTAAGCTCTCTGTCAATGCACCAATGACTACTACAAAGTCGAGCTAGGTTAAAACCGTTGAAATAGTCTGTCCGTCCCAAAAGCTCACTTGGGTAGGGCGTCTCCTTTCCGATTCACCCACCCGTGGCAGGGTGGGATCGGGCCGCCTTAGGTGCTCGCTATTTGCTTCTACGCTGACTGTCTGGTGACAACATGCTTGGTTACATCTTAAAACGTCAACCGATGTTAAAGATATTGGTCTACGATGACCATTTTACGTGCGGTGCATACCCAACCGCTTTCGTAGCCAGTCTGATGAATAACGCTGTCCTGTGGCTGTCTGGTCAGAAAAATATCGTCCTTCTGTTCGGAAAGAGCCATTTATACAACTTACTGTTCCCAAGGACTGGGGCTGACCTGACGTGTAGGCCGTCATCCGACGATCGAATGTGTCAAACCGGACAGCGATTATTTCCTCGGCGCTAGGTCATCCGCTGTTCGTTTGTGACCTTTAGTTAAGGTTAAGGTCACTAACTCAGCACAAAACCTTGAGCTTTATGAGTTAGCTAAATTGCCTTACTTGTCTTGGCTAAATTTTAATCAACTGGTGGCAGAGTGCCAGCCATCTCCTTTGCTGTCAACCAGGCACAACCAGGCGGACTCAAAGGACGGGGAACTCCATATCACCTTCCGATTGGAATCGGGCCCGGCCCCCACCCGTAGTGCCGTAACCTGACATATCATTCAGAGAGCTTGCGTCAGGGCCGTCTTTAGAATTCCCTCCTCCTATTATACAAGGTCTCAACACGGGGCCAAACAGCCCGCCTCATATACGCCTGAGCTCTTGGGGCCCATTTCCCAAGCGGGAACGAGGCCGGGATCCGCAATTTGTAATGTTCGGGTCCCTGACACAATGAGCGACTCCTGTGTTGGTCAGTCGTCGCAGTGCATAATGGGGGTCCTGTGACGTGGCAAGTGGCCCCGAGTTAGCCAGAAGCGGTGTGTGAGGAGACGGTCAAAGAGGGGCCGAAGGGTCTCTCGATACTAAAGATCAAGGACCCGATTGAAGGCCGAAGAGCCCGAAGGGTGGGCTGTAGGTCGCATAAAGAATCCCCGCCCGTAAGGCCGTGTCAGTACGAGGGCCCCTTGTACCGATTGGGGATCTCTTAGGTGGAGCGTTCCCCTGTTTCGAAAAGAAGTCACCAACACTGAACAGTCGGTTCCGTGTCGATCTGAGCTCTTGATGCGCACTTTCCAAGCAGGCACAAGGCCGGGCCCGTGATTTGCAGTGGTCGGAGCCCCCGTAACAATGCAGGGCTCCTGTATTGGTCAAGAGCCCAGTGTCTAACAGAGTGTTATGTGTTCACAAGAGGCCTTGAGTCGGTCAGAGGAACATTGTGTTGGTGGAGACCCTCTGACACTGAAAGGATACATTATAACCTGTGATGAGTTTTCACATTGAGACAGTGGAAGGGTCCTGTGCCAGTTAGGGCTCCCAGTACTTATGGGCCTCCAGCCCCATTCCAGCATAGGCCCGTTAAGCCTAGCTGGAGTCTACGTGCCAATTGTTGGACCACCTGCGGCAATTAGAGATGCTATTGCGTCAATGAGGGTTCCTGCGTCGGTCCAGGGCCAAGTGCGCGGGTCAGAAAGCCTCTCGCGTCAGGAAGGGAACAATATGATGTCGTGTATCCCTCTAAGGGCCTCCGGATCGACCAGCGGACCTCACCCTCGTGCACCAGAATGACATCCGGAAGGAACTACGCGCTGGGATGGATTGGACGCTCAGTCCTTGACCGGGAACAATAACGCGCTCCCAGTGTTTTTCTCAAGAGGCGCCCTTAGGCGAACAGAAATAGCGCTCTCATTCATGTTGAATAGAGCGGGTCGAAATGAGTCGAAAACGAACAAGGCTATCCCATGTCTGCTTGAAAACGTTTAATTTTTCAGAAGATATTGGTGACACAAATTTTATCAAAGGGATTGAGCCTGCACACCCAAAATCTCAGCGGCAAGAACAGCGATGGTCTGGGTTGTAGTTTCCGTAAAACCGAGCGGTGTTGGTCACTGCAAGTAACGCAACGCGCCCCGCGCGAGAACGACCGTCATGAAAAGCTGATTCAAAATATCTTCCAATTGATTCGTACCATTTAAAGATAAGACTGTGTATCTTTTTTACAACTTTGAGGTTGTCCACTGGACAGATGAACAGTTATGGCAAGCGAAAATAAAACACATAACCCACATTTATGTTTCCAGCTCCACCACTAGATTCCAGACAACATCACTTCGCAGTGTTGTAAATGCCAACCTGTTCTTAACATCAATATAAAAATCGCACCAGTGAAATATACGTCTGGACTGCTTTCTCAATGTACGATTTGATGTCCTAAAGCATTCAAAGGTGCTTTGTTAGATGCGTTATTATTTTCGGCCACCAGTTATCGTTTAAGAGTCCCGGAGCGACCACCACTGGCGTCGTGCCGGAGTCCCCCCCCCCCCCTGCCACGTTTCCCGGGTTCGTCATTTGACGGCAGGCCTGTTGAAGGCGGCCCGCCGTGGCAAACCGCGTTTCGGTGCCGACAGTCGGTTCGTAGGTGACCGGTAGTACCACACGCGTAACAACGCCGCTTGGCGTCGTGGGGAGAGCACGGACGACAGTTGCCTCAGCGACGGCGCGATTCGTTTCGCCGCATCTCCAGCTGAGAGATACGACTTAGAATCTGTTACAGGATACCGTCAGAGGTGGTCCCTTGTCCACTGTTGTTGACTGTACCAACAAGCTGCGAATGCATAGCTTCAGCAGGTGCCGCACCTTCATTACGGCCGCGTCATAATCGGCGATTCCCACCGCGGCCCACGTCACCACTGCCCCTCCGTAACCTGGCGCGAACCAAGGAATCACCACCACGCCCGAGTCCCCATTTGAATGTGTCCAGGTCCCGGGTCCCAGTGTCTGCAGGACAACCGTCTTCGAACGGTCATCGCGAACAGTGGAGTGCCCGAGTCAGACGGCCTCCAAATCGGTTTAACCCATGACTGCGATAGCTGGGTGCATAGCAATGATGCATGGTGTATTGTATTGTTTGTCCTACTTTATTGTTTGGGTTAGATGCACTGTCGTGACGGATATCGTTTCAGTGCTCTTTTCCTTGCATGTTCGTTAGGTTCGTGAGATATGTGGTCATAATGCCATGAATTTGTTCATCATGTCATGAATGAATAATTCAATTGTGAGGTCATTCTTCTTTTAAGAAGGGTGTAGTGTAAGGTGCCGGAGAACGCCTATGTGCTAGCCAGTGAATGTTTGCGCAGTTTGGCGAGCGCCGCTTAGAGGCGCTCGCGTTCCTCTTCTCCCGCCCCAGACAGGAGGGGAACGCGAGGGACGCGGCCGCGGGGGCAAGGAGAGGAGGCGGAGCAAGGGGAAGATTCTGAGAGCCGCCGGCGGGACGTACTGTGACGAGTGCCTGTGACGGGTGTCAAACAAAGAAATGACTGGGCGCACCGTGTGCACCAGTTAGCCGGAGGCGAGGCGCGGGACAGCAGAACTTCCATACACACGTGAGCATCACATAATGAAAACTTCTTTGTGGTTTAATTTCTTGAGACTTGCCTTACGAATGCCAAGTTGTGTCCGGACCAGCGGGGTACTGCATTCCAAGACATATTCCAAATTTGTTTTAAAAATTTTGAGCCCAATTCCTTGTTACCGTTGTCATCCGATTTCTGTATATGCTGGATACAAGCGAAACGGCATTAGGTATTGTCTGTCTTGAGTGCGTCAGCAACTGTGGCTCCTATAACTAGTCGTGGCTGGGTTTCTAAAGACTTGGATGTGGATGGCAGTTTTTTACTTTGGTACCTGTACGGCCGACGGAGGGAAGTGACCGCAGGGTTTCTTGTACTGTCGTGCTGGGGAAATGCTGTGAGGCATCAGCTGACATTGTGACGTCACTGAAAATGATTTTACATCGATCGGGACAAGGCCATAGAATGGATCGGGACAGGGCTCTTTTAGGACGACTCAAGGTCAAGGCTTTCGCTGGTGATATGATGTCACTGGTATTGCAAAACCATTTTCAGTGACGTCACACCGTCGGCCGATGCCTCACATCATTTCCCCAGCACGACAGTACACAAACCCTGCAGTCAGCGTAGCTCTTCCCTCTGTCGACCACACAGGTACGAAAGTAAAAAAAAAACTTTGGTTGGCGGCAATGCGCCGAATGCAATTGTGTGCGTTGGTTACGTGCGGAGCCTTCTCGGGCTCGTGACATTGTAACGTTTCCTTAAGTTGTTTGGAGTAGAATTTAAAGGTGGATCACTTGGTATTGGGAAGCAGGACGTATGCAGTAACTCCGAATCTTATGCGTGAGGCGCAACTCAAAATATTTAACTGAAAAACCGGTTGGACATTTACCCACTCAATGTCTCAGCATTGGGGGCATAGATAGGAGTGAGATTTGTTCACAGGTGCCGATTTGTGTTCTTTTGTAAGGGCCCTGGCCCCTCCAACATTGAGTTGGGGCTCCCAGTGTTGGCCTGGCCTCTCCAATGTTTTTGGCTGGAATGCTACAAAAAAGTGAATAAAAGATGATCATAACACAAAGCCCATCTTCTTTGATCTTTCTGCATGGTGGCATCTCATACCACTCCTGACAAAAGTCATGGCTGCTCTTATCACAAGATACAAATAATAACAGCTGAGCAGAGTACAAATCATCAGCTGAGCAGAAAAGCAATGCCATAGATTTCACATGCTTAGCACCATAAAACTTACAATGGTTTGTAAGGTTGAAGTGAAAGGCCCTGGGACATGGGGATAACCTGAGTCGTTCACGGCTAATCCCATTCCTGTCCCCCACAACCAAAATGTGTGCTGCCTCCCTTGACTGCCATGGAAGAGGGTCATCATGCCCGAAAGTGGCTTCTAAAGGGGCAATTTCATGTGCCAGTGAGAAGAGACGCTGGGCGTCCAGTGCCTGCTACCAGGATCCATCCCTGCATGATGTCTATTCTGCTTAAATTAGAGACTTATGAATTATTTGAAGATAAATAACATACCTTTTGTTTAATTAAAATAAAGTGAGCTAAATCTGGTGAGAAAAAATGGGTAGGTTGTCAGGTCTTTGGTTCGGCTCCCAATAATTTACAAAAATTAACGCCCCTGGATGTGTTTGACTATGAATCACCCATTCTATTATTGGATTTTGGTGCAAAAGTCTGCCATGGTGTTCGAGCTGGTTGGAGCATGTGTAATCGTTGGCATTTAACACTGTCAAATACCACAAGGAACAGCAAAATAATGGCACACCAACACCAGGATGGTGCAATATGCAGACTTTGATGCCTGAAACTATTGTTTGACTGCTAGGATACCAGTTTGTAATAAAAACTGCCTTTTATTGGGTATTCTGTTTCCAACCTAGCATAAATGGGTGTCATGTTTTTTTTTTGGGGGGGGGGGGAAATGTGTTCATTTTTAAGATTAAGCTGAACCTTTTCCTTAGTTGTATTGCTGAGCTCAGCAACTATTGTAGCCAGTGCTGGTTGCAAGAGCCATTACCCCATCATCCAATACTGAATTTTCAGGTCAGTGGCACAATTTTGGACCAAAAACTTAATGTTCTGCAATGCTCTGCACAGTAGTCAGTTACGCCCTCAGATGTCATGTGACATTAAGCGGGGCAGGGTGTAGCACTGGCACCGCTGCAGGCTATCCCAGTCTGGCAGAGAGCAAGCACTTTGATTCTTAAGTGACTCGAACTTGCACCAGGGGTGCAGGGGTGGGGTTTCATGTTCAGTTTGCCAGATTTCAGTTTTCTACTTGCATTCACAGTAGACCCTGACTGGTGGGGAGAAAAGCCTGTGTATGCAAACATATGTTTGATGGGAACATCATAGTGTTTGCTGCAGGTATTGGGACAAAGCAAAGTGTCTCTGCTTCTCACAGCAAACTGAATATGAAGCCAAGACAATCACAAAGTTCCAAGCTCTGAACTGAGAGGGGAATTTTAGTGGTTTTATGTTTCTAAGACATGAAGCAGAATCTGATAGCCAGTTGACCTATGTGCCATGCATGCAGTGCTGAAGCCAGTTAGTGGCTGCCAACTTACAAAATGTTGAGCTAAAGCTAAACCCTTTAGTTGTATGATGTGTGGCCAAAGCTGAAGCCAAATCTAACATGCAGCATTGTTTTGCAAAAAACACTTTTTTGTGTCTACTAAAACTTATGGCACCAGAAAATATCAAGGCTGAGTAGGGTGATAAAGACAAGGTGTTAGCATTACAGATTACATATTTTGGGGGCTATGTCCTCACCTCGTGTGCTCATGTGTGCTCATAGTTTCAGATGATGTTCCGGTAGTCACCAGATATTAATTGAGTCTGAGAATGACCTGGCACCAATGCGTGCCCCATTTACATTGTAAAAATGACCTGCTGACTGAATATGTGTATAACTTTGCTTCAATTTGTATGATGCATGATTGCTTCCCATCTAGATGCTGGTGCTAGATCTCATTATGGAAGCTGTGTGAACTGGTAATAATTCACATGAGCAAACAAATGTCCCCAGCCCCCTCCCCTTCATTGTATAACAGTAGTGTCCATAAGTTGACAATTTGCCATTTATTTCAGTTGCAGGCTGGGCATGGCCTGAATGATTGTATGCTGCTATACCTGAAGAAGGCCAGTGTGGAGGCGTCACTTGTAAACAATGACCATGACAATGGCAGCAGCCAACATGTTGCCCAACAACTCAATGAACTTCACAGAAAACCAGCATGGAAACGCTATTTTGGAGATGCTCCGCCATCAGCGGGAGCAGAACTATTTCTGCGACGTCATCCTGCACGTGCAGGGCCAGCAGTTTGAAGCGCACCGCAACGTGCTGGCCTCCTGCTCCAAATATTTCCAAAACACCTTCAAGCAGGACAAGGTTGTGAAAGAACAGCTGACTATCAGCTGTGGCGGCCACGAGATCTTCCGGTGCCTGCTGGACTACATTTACACGGGCAACGTCGTGATCGACAAGAACAATGTGTCCGAACTGGTGCGCCTGTCGAACCACTTCAGCGTGCTGAAGCTGCGCGGCCACTGCTCCGAGTACCTGGAGCGCTACCTGGATGTCACCAACTGCCTGTCGGTGATGGACATGGCCGACCGGTACCAGATGACCGAACTCCTGCGCACCGCCGTCACCTTCGTCAAGGCCAACATCGACGACGTGCTGCGGCAGCAGGAGGCCATGGAGCTGCCGCAGGCCAAGGTGGAGCAGCTCGTTATCGGCAAGGTGAGTTCCTGACGCCGTGTGGCGAGCCTCGGGTGGAGCGACGGTACGTTCTGGTGGTGGTTCAGACGTGGTGCAGACAGCTGACGTCGCGGCCACCTCGCTCCGTGCCGCTCCGGCGGTGGACTGCTGCGCTGGTCGTCGGGCGGCAGCTCCTAACGGGCGTGGCCGCACGCCGGCAGGAGCTGGCGCTGTCGCCGGAGCGGCAGCTGACGTTCGTGCTGAACTGGGTGCGCCACAGCGTGTCGTCGCGCGAGAACGAGCTGCGCCAGCTGCTGGTGGGCGTGCCGCTGCAGCTGGTGGAGCGCGGACGGCTGCTGCAGCTGGTGCAGACGGACCGGCTGCTGGCGGAGAGCGAGCGCTGTCTGTACTTCACGCTGCAGAGTCTGAGCGACGCCGGCGTCCGGCTGCCGGCCTATGAGCAGCTCTTCAGCCAGATGGAGGAGAAGTATATGCAGGTGAGGCCCGAGTAGGCGCTGGACCGACTCCACTCTGGCGGTGCACGCGGTCGATCGTGTGGTGTTTTTGCCGTGCTCCTGCACAGGACAGACATGTGTCGTTTGTTGCGATTTCCAGATAAAACGGCCGTCCATTGGCCCTCAGTCAATGTTGTGGAAAGTACGATGACGTAGTCAAGTCATGGTGCATTGGGAAGCATATGTATTAAACAGGGAATTGTGTTGTCTAGAGCAGCTTTTTCACATACGAGGTATACCAATAGTAATGAGTGAGCTTGTTTCATTTGTCTGATGCTCGCTTCAGTATCTTCAAATGCGAAACGTTCCCTTTAATCGAGAATTGGTTGACTGACGTGGTGGGGTGACAACCTTCGCAACAAGCGATGCTTAACGAGGACGATCCCGAAGCTCATCCTGAAGAGCATGACCTGAAAACAAAATCCTGTGTTACATTATTGTTTGGCTATTTCGGTTTCAGACCCTCGCGTGGCAAAGCAGCTCCGTGACAGGGAATGCAGGATGCGCTCTAGGGTTAAGGGCCCCTGCTTTGGCAATTTCAGGTCCACTGTACGAGGTTAAGTACACCGTGCTCATTTGTTAATGCACTGATCGCTTGATCGCAAAACCTGCAAACCTGGACCTCAGTTCCCTGCGGTAAAAGACGACAGTGCTTATGGATAAAACGCCCCGTGTGAACACCCATTTGGCTGGAAAGTACCTGGCGATATAGCAGGCAAGGTGAATAACGAATGGTGATCGGCCCGGGGAAAGGAGACTGCTTTAAAAATGACAACACTCCGTCACAGTCAGTGAAACCTTGTGTCTTTCTGTGTCGCTGTTTGAGTGGTTCCCAGCGACCTCGGAACAAGGATCATGCTCGCTTAAGAGCAACTTGGTCGGCTCTAGTCAAAGGCCATGTGCCGAGGGGCACGTCTGGTGGCACGTTATCCCATCAGACTTAATCGCTGCCCTGCCTGCCCCAGAACGTGGTGACCCCAGCGCCTAGACGTCACGCGCATCTCCCACCACCGTGTCAGCTGCCCCCGAGGTCCGTTGGTCAGCACCGACACCCGGTGAAGTGTGACGGCACTGTACTTGCTTACAGGACCTGGTGGTCGACAACGATACGTTCCTCTCCATGGCGATCAGCACGGCCATAGAAGAGCTGGAGGGCACGGAGGCGACCATCTTTGACGGCCTTCACCGGCTTCAGCAGCAGGTGGGCCCGACGGCAGCGGCTGGTAGGCTCGACTGCAGTAGTGAGTGGTTTCCATTGGACCAGCCCGGGATGTCAGGCAGGGCCCATCGGCGGGCCAGGGCGCACCAGCTGGCGAGTACAAACTCTGGAGCCGAAGGGCTTTTAATTACCTTTTCAGCTCCAAATATGCACCCCACCCCCACTCCAACCCGTAGCTCAATCAGTTAAAGAGCCTGCCTCCCAGCCTAGCCGGGGAAGGGTGAGTGGGTTTGAGTCGCTTCGGCGTGCGCTATCACCCCTCGCCGGGATGGTCTGTGGCCGGTGGTAGAAGCTACTCAATGTCAGATGGGGTCGGAGGACGGGCCCCTTCCGAGAATTGTGACGCGTTAAACTGTCACCACAACCTTCTGCCGTTGAACCGGCATTTTGTGATTGGCTGATTGGGTCGTAACTCAGGCTCCTGCTTAGTTAAGCGTTGGCTCTGGTTCCAGAAATTCATACAAGGAAATCGTTGGAACCATAGTCATAAAACTGCGATGTATAATTTGATCGCATTGAAGCAGTCCGTGCTCAATCAAAGTTTATATGTCTGTGTTGATGTACTTCAGCGGATGTGGTTTTTAAACCGAAACGGATGGTGAAATATTCATGCCATATGATTTTCTAGCATGTCAGTGCCGTGGAACTAATGCACCAGATTTTTGTTCGCAAATGCGATCTTCACAGGTAGGAATGAAAGTTTGTTGTTAGGTTTGGGAGGTAGCCAGGAAGCTAAAGCTTACTTCCGCTGTTAACAGATGAAGCCAACGTAAGACAGCTGACTTTAAGCTAGATTTTGCCTCTTGCATTTCCCAAAGCGTAATATTTTGAATTTTTACTTAGTGGAAACATAGCATGTAGAGAACACTTTTGTTGCGTATTGTGTTTATGTACACTTACGGATGGGTCCATGCATTTCTTTTGTTGGCACTTAAAATGTCCTTATTAATGGCATTATATGTAGCACTTCGTAGGTTGCCGCACCTTCTGCTGTCCATTTGCTACACGTTAGGCGAAGGTCGCGCGTCGTAGGCCTCTTACATGTTATTAGAATGTAGGTTTTTCGTATACAGCCATTAGGATGTATACTTTTTGTGTGCAGCCGGCTATTGATTTTGTATCGCATTAGGGGTGCATTTCTTTGTAAGCATTTCCGCGTATTGCGATTCTTCGTACACAGACCTTGGCACCCCAAAGCATCGTACGCGAATCTTCGCGGATAAATATTCGTGCGCGTAAAACGTCTTTTTGCAAATCATTTGATCCCGAAACTTTGTGTTTTCAACTCTTCATATCGCATTTCATCGTATTGACACTGTTTGGTATCGCATGCCCTCTTGTCCGTAAAACTTCGTATGCGTATGATATGATATGACACCCTCGGTATCAGATTGTGTTATGAAGGCATTGCCCTGTATCGCATTCCTTCGTACCGCGTTTCTTAGTACGCGCATTTCTTTGCACACCTTTTCGGCGATGACAGTCATTCGCATCGTACTCGTCGTGCTCGCCAATTGTATTTCTTTGTATTCGCATTCTTTTGCGCCCAGTTGCATTTCGTGCGCGCAGTCTGGCATGACATATGTGGCATTGTTGGCGCAAACGTCGATATGTGTTTATCCTTCCTTTATGCTGTTGTCTGTCATCATCCTTTCTTTCCCGTTCCAATACCATCCCCTTGGCACGTGAAGAGATCCATCATCCCTTCGAGTATATTATCACCTCACCGTCTCCGTACGTGGGCCTACGGGGCTATTGAATGGCCTGCCTCCTCCCTGATACCCGTGCCCTGTAGGTCAGCTGGTCGAGTGGTGGGTCACCGCGGCCAAGGTGTCACAAACAAACAAGGTATCATCCCGCAACTGCACGCTCAAACGTGCAGCCGCTGCAGTCGTCTAGAATTATCTGGGGGCAATGCTTGCTATGCAACGCTTGCTTGCAATGCTTGCTTGCAGTGCAATGCAATGCAGTGCTCTCCAATAGTATGAGACACTCCTAGCAAGGATGCCTTCACTGGTGTTTGGATCAAGGCAAGCGCCTCTAGATCAAAGTTCATAGCTCTGATGCTGTGTGTGTTGTGATGACGTCATTGGTCCGGAGAAACATTCGTGCTCGACTTCAAGTTGTGCCCAGGTCCTTCCTTAATCATCACGCCGTGTGTGGGTGTCGAAAACATTCAGTTGGTAGCCAGCACGTCTATTAAGAAACACGGACATGATATGCTGATCGAGGAGAAGCGTCTGTCTACTCAACAATGGTGTAGCTCTTAAATCGAGAGGTCGATGAGCAACGTGGCCCGTCATCTTCACCGCAGATATACCAGCGCGGAAATTATAAATCAAGGTCGCACGCGCATGTCGAGCATTGCGGCAGATTTATATTTTTATTTTTTGCTAAGAACATGGTACGACATATAACTAGGGAGCTGCAGTTAACGGACAGGCGACTGACATAAGATGGTCAGAAATCATGTTGGGGAAAACAATGCTTGTGCGGAAGCCAGTGCGAAGGCAAGACGTTTATCTAGTGTCCTCTTCTCAGTCAGCCCTGGACTGATGATAGCAGCATGCGGTCGGAAATGCCATTCCAGAAAAGACATCGTGCTGGGCAGCTGATTCACATGTGGTTATTGCCTGCTCGCCGTAACCCGGTCGGTCAGCGGTAGGACATTCAAAATCGGGGGTGCCGATAGTGTAGTGGTTATCGCGTCTGCGCTGGCTACTGCGCATCTGGGAAACCAGAGGTACGGGGTTCGATTCCCCGCGGCGCCCGCCCTTCCTGCCAAGGCGGGAGGCAGGCGACGCCATATAGCCTCAGCAGCTGAGTGCGTCGTAAAGCCCCAATCACGCAGACATTCAAAATCATCCTCACTTCGTACAGACTGCTGTGCTGGACTGGACGGAGCGCTCTGTTCTTCACTGATCTCCGTTGTCTGCGCTGATTGGCGGCGGCAGCGGCGGCAAGTATTTATCGCAACCACACTGGTTCAGCGCATGTTTTCTGGAGTCACGCGCAAAAATTTGCAACGTTATCAGGCGCGAGATGGGGGGGGGGGAGGGGGGGAAGCGGGGAGGGGGCTGCTTGGCGCGGTCGTGCCGGCCAGTCAGGCCCGCAATGCCGCGTGGGCTACGCTGGGACCGAGCCGAAATGTTTATCATCCTCATGCAAAGGGGTTGAGTTGGAATGCCGCCGGCCTTATCATCATTCGAGACGACCCGAGTGGCTCGCCGTTCTGCCAGGTGCTCCAGATGATGCCCCGTTTGTAGGGAGACGTTTCCTCGTAGTGTCCGTTCAGATTGGTTTCGGCCTCACACTGACTATGCCACCATCCCGTCACCCTGCGCTGTGTGCAGAGCGTCTTGGTCAGGTCGTTGTCCCTGTCGCCGGTCGAAAATTTGCGATAGTTCTGTGCGGACAGTCCGTTGCCGGCGCTGCCAACGCCCTCTTGGAAGTTGCCGAGGTGCAGTGTGTATGCGGGATGGCGCCAGACGTTGATCCTGTCGTACAAAACGTGCGCAGTCTCGTTCTGCTTGCTGCGCAGCTCCACGCGTAGCGACTGGTCCGCGCCTATGGTCAACAAGTACGTGTACTCGTTTCCCAGCCAGTGGTCTCCGGTCAGAGAGCCGATCGTCCACTTGTAGGCCTCCCACGACTGAAGGAAGATGTCGTCTTCGGGGGTCGAGCGCTGCTGGAGGACGGTCCAGCCGCCGCCGTCGGTCGTCATGTCGCAGGCCGCACGGATGAGGTTGTCCGCGCCGTCCTGCCGCACCATCAGCTGGTACACACCGTCGGCGTCGACACCGGCGTGCCGGAGGTCGGCGCAGTCGCGGAACCAGCACGGCCCGTCGGCCGGCCGGCCGTACTTGGCGCCGCAGCGGCACCGGTCACCGCCCGCCTCGAGGCCCGCCTGGCACTCGCACCGGTTGGAGAGGCAGAGCGCGCCGTGCGTCAGACACTCGGCGTGCGCGTCGCACCAGTCGTGCAGCTGAGCCCGGCCGGGCCGCTCGGACAGCGCGGCGCCGGCGGCCGGCTCGTTGAGCGTCGGGTGGCCGCGGCGTCGGCTCAGGCGGCACTCGACGCCGTCGGCTGGCCTCTCTGTGACGCCGACGCTCAGGCAGTCCGACCGCGTGAGGCAGGCCGCCCGGCAGTCGCAGGCGCTGGCCGCGCTGAACTGCGCCATCGCCAGGTGCGCCGGCAGCTGGCTGTCGCGGGTCCAGGCGGCCGGCTGCAGCGTCACGGCGGCGGCAGCGACGGCGGTGTGCGGACTGGCTGTGGAGCGCGCCGGCTGGCCGGCGGCGAGCAGCAGGAGCGCCAGCGTCGCTGAGGGTGCCATTGCCGCAGCTGCTGCACGTGTCTCGGGCCGGGTTCGGTCGGGCTGTGTCGTGGGGCGCGCTCCGGACGCTCGGCTCGCCTGCCGCCGACAGACCTGCGGCTGCACCGCCCGGCCTGCCCGCTGCCTGGCGCTGCAGGCCGGGGGTCTCGTCCATCCTCCGTCGTTCAATAGGCCCAGCCAACGGGTCGGAACGCGACCCTTGAGAACGCTTCGCTCGTTTCGTCTCTTTGGACACGGTAACTAAGATTGCAGGGCAGTTGCATGCGGACGATGTTTTCATTCAGTTGTAAAATGAGCGTCGTTTCGTGAAAGACCTCTGGCGCTAGACAGTGTGCGCGATGGAATGCTGCCGACAACTCATTGCACTCTAGCCCCCGATGGCAGCTGATAACCGGCCTCTCAGTACGATTGTGTGGAGTTGGATGGATCGCTCGGCCCTCAGTAGTCATTGCTTACGTAGGTTGTCATCACGTAAAGGTCGTGAGGGCCCTAGTGTATCTTCCTTGATACCCTCACACGGCCAGGATTGCTTGAGACCTCGTAACGGCGTCAGAAGTTTGAAAGCCTCTGACACCGTTACGAGGTGGCGGGGCCATTGCGGCGCTCTTCAGTTGCGATAGCATTTTAAGTTGATTTGCCCGTCGGGCCCGGCCCGCCCGTCATGGCTTCTAGAAGTTCAGTGTTGGTCGATTAGAATTGTCAAGCTTGGCCGGACCATAAGCCAGGATCTTTTTGCAAGCAAATGGTTTCTGAGCTTTCCCGCAAATTCTTCATCAGTGGACCTCCGCCTAGAACTCCATACCTTCCAGGCGCCTTCTATGTCTAGGACCTAGAAGGTAGACCCTCTAATGCTTTCCTGAAAGGCCTTGGTGCTGGCTGTTGAAGGTGTCCGAGTTCATTAGCTTAGATTTTGCATTGGCATCATCGCTGTAAGTGCTGATAACTTTCACCTTTGTGTCGCCTTGCTCGTCGCTCGTCGCTGAAGGCACTTAGCTGGTGTGTTATGCTACCGTTATGCTACACAGAGGTGTTCTGGTCTTTTAAAGGGCTTCGGTAGTTTGTGAACTTGCTCGTCTATGATAGGATGGTCTATTCTCGGCAATGTCACCTCCTATAAATATGCATCTGATTCATCTCTGTGCGCTTCTCCTGCTCGTAGCGGTTGTGCCCCAGCGTACAGCTTCTTGTAAGAGCTTTCCTAGGTCATCATGTCCCAGTCAACATCGGCTGAGCAGATCTGCACCGGGCAGTGTGATTCAACCGCAGTCGGCGCTTGCGTGTCAGACCTGCGCAGGGCTGCTTGATCTCAGTCAGTCACAAGCGGGCCGCATTGGCCTTTGGCAGTGTGTCCCGTCGGGTGCCTGCGGGGCAGGCTACGCTCCTCAGGCTGGACTGCGCCTGGCGGCCCGCCGGAGGGCGCAGTGTCGGCGCCGGCGCCGCGTTGCGTGCCATTATGTGACATTGTCCATGCGCGGCAGGCGGCCGTGTCGTCCAGCCAGAACCCGCCGCCGATCGAGACGTTCTCCATCTCGGCCATCGACGACGCGCTGGGCGGCGTGGAGCTGACCGGCGGTGAGCAGGAGACGGCCCGGGACCTGCGCTGCCACGCCGGCGAGCCGCGCTACCTGGGCCGCTACCAGGAGCCGCCGCCGCCACCGCCACCGCCGGCGGCGGCCTCCCGCTACACAGACTACGGCGACGCGCTCGGCGCCGAGCAGGCGCCACACCCGCCGCAGCTGCATGACAAGTACGAGGAGCTGCAGGTGGACGAGCAGCACCGCTACGGCGGCGGGCCTGCCGCCGATCATCAGCGCATTGCGCCGCGCCAGAACGCACGCTACCGCGGCGCGGCTGACTGCCACGAGATGGCCGGCCTGTACCAGTCGGTCGGCTGCGGCCCTGCCGGCGGCGGCGGCGGAGGCGGCGCCGTGGCGGCCGGCGACCTGCAGTACATGCTGATGGTGAAGCGCGCTGAGAAGCCGGACGAGGAGCCGACGCCGGCTGAGCAGGCCGACGAGCGCCGCCTGCTGGAGGCGGCGCAGCCGCTCGGCCTCCAGTACATGGTGTACAACGAGTACCCGGAGCCGGGCGGCGCACTGTACTGCGAGCCGCCGGCCAGCCTGGCACAGTGCCGCTTCGAGCCGCGGCGGCACGCCGAGCCGGCCGCGCCCGACGCGCTCGGCGCCGACGGCCGGCCGTACGCCGACGCTGCGCAGCTGGAGTCGCGCACGTTCCAGGCGGCGCCGGACGCGCGCTTGCGCCCGCTGTGCGCCAGCTATGAGGTGGTGGACGAGGGCCGGCCGGCGGGGCGCGAGCAGGCCGCCTGTTACCTAGCGGCCGACGGGCGGCTGCAGTACGAGCCGGCCGCGTACGCGTGCGACGAGCCGGCGCTGGCGCCGCTGGTGTCGGCGGGCTGCGGGGAGCCGGCCGGCGGCGGGCTGTTGTACGCGCCGCCGCCGCAGGCGGATGGACGGCGGCCGGAGCCGGCGCGGCTCGACGAGGCCGCGTCGGCCGCCGTGTTTGTGGAGGACGCGCTGAGGCTGGAGACGGCGCAGCCGCCTCCACCCCCGCCTCCTCCGCCGCCTCCGCCACCTCCGCCGCCGCTGCCGATGCCGGCGAAGAAGCGGAAACTGGACCCGGGCCTGGCGGAGGAGCTGCGCTCGGGCGCTGCCGAGCCTGGCCCGGACATCCAGCCCACCGTGCACCGCAGCCCCAAGAAGAAGCGGCTGCGCCAGCGACAGGAGCCACCGGTGGAGGAGGACGAGCCCCGGCCGGAGCACACAGGTGACCGCTTCGCTCGCGCCCTGAGCGGCCGACGACAGATGGCGCCGTGCTCGCGTGGAGCGCAGCTTGTAGGCAACAGTCAACGGGTGTGGGGGGGGGGGGGGACGCAAGTGTCCGCATTTGTACTGTGTTGCATGACCTGCGCTATTGTGGGTGTGCTGCGGCAGGGATACATGGGCTATGGTTTTGGTGTTAAGAATATTGGGCCACGGTTTTGAACTTCGTTGGGAAATATCCCAGTTCGCTTTGGGCACCTAGCATCTTATTCAGCACGGACGGAACGTGCATTCCGTATTCGTTTGTTACATCACAAGCACCACCCTGGTGGTGGACGCCAACACAGTACTGCGTACGACACAATGTACTATGTTTGCAAATGGCAATTTGGCGACGCGGTGCAATAATAACGGTACACAGCATTAACAGCTTTAACCATACAATAAGATCCAAAAACTGCACATAGTGCACGCCTAGCGTAGAATAACGTCAAAAAGGCAGATCACTAAATATGTCCATCAGACTCCCCAACCTCTACACACAAGAATGCACGCAAGACGCGGTGGCTGCGCAGTGGATCGATGTGTCAACTTCGCGGATTTGAGTGCAGACATGCGGAGAGTTAATAGCGCTTTGTTTGTTTCGTAAACTGCAGTCCTCTGCTACCCAATATGCACTCTCCCTGCATGCCACTCGGATGGGTCCGGAAGCTTGCGCTGTTGGCAGCTCGTTGTCGGGTCACTGGGGCTTTACGACGCTCTCAGCTGCTGAGGCTAGATGACGTCTACCTCCTCCCATCCCGAGAGGGAGGGCAGGTACCGCGGGAAATGGGACCTATCTGTGGTGTCGAAGATGAGCGGCTTAACCACCTCGCTATGAGCACCTGCTTGTGTCAGCTGGGTGGCCGTGTGACCTGACCAGTGTTCGAGCTTCTCTGACGTCCACCGCCACGTAACTGGACCCGCTCCCGCCGCTGAAGCCGCCCGTCGCTGTTGCAGAGCTGGCGCCGCTGCTGGCTGTGGTCCCCGAGCCGCCGCCGCCACCTCCGCCGCCGCCTCCGCCGCCGCCGCCGTCGCCGCCGCCTCCGCCGCCACCTCGGCATTTTGTGTGTCCCCGCTGTCCGGCTGTCTTCACCGTGCAGGCCGCTCTGGAGAAGCACCGGGCGGAGAAGCACCGGCCCGGCCCGCTGAAGAAGACGTTTACCTGTGATATCTGCCAGATGTGCAGCGAGAAGACGTCGATCTACTTCAAGCACATGCGCACGCACTTCGATGGCCCTCCGTTCACCTGCAGCATATGTAAGGGATTGTCCGTATCTTCCGCTCCCTGCCCTGTGTCGTCGGTCTGTCGGCTGGCCCGCAGTCCCCGTCTCTGACTCTGTTCTCTGGGTGCATGCGTATAGTATTATCTTACGTCGATGGCCATTGGTTCCCGAGTATGGTGGTAAGGATACGTGTTTTCTCTGACCGTGATATAGAGCGACCCAAGGGTGGTTTGCTCCACCAGTTGCCTGGTTCAACCAAGAGTTGTCGAGCAGCCGGATGGTGCGTGCGGGCCATTGTGGCGGCATTCACGACACACCGCGGTGGGCTTTACGCGCTCACCAACGGCGTCTCCACGTTGTCAGGCTTCCGCGAGTACCCAGTGTTCCTGAAGTTTATGCGGCACCGGCGCGAGCACGCCGAAAACAAGCCGCACCGCTGTCCGGACTGCAACCTCAGCTTCTGGAAGAAGGGCAACCTGAGCTCCCACATGCGCATCCACACGGGCGAGCGGCCGTTCAAATGTGAGTAGACGCTGCGGCCTGACCTGGCGCCGGGTCGCCGGACAGTCAGGGCTGCCCGGCGGGATGACCCTACTCGCAGCCTCTGAGATGATTGGGCTCGGAGCATCTGGGAGGTAAGGGATACTACATGGGCTAATTGTTAAACCTGACCCGTGCCATCTAGGCTCTGACCCGGCGCTGGCCCATTGTGGTTGCGTGTGATTATGCGGGATGATGTGGAATATACGTGCCGTCACGCGGAATTTTTGCCGTCCAGGTAGTGGTCGTTCGCTGGCAGCCGGCTGGCACAGATTGTACGTGACGCTACATACGATGTTGGTGGAATGCGCATGCTTTTCGGGAGGATGCTTGATCGCTCGGAGCCAATTGTGACGCGGAAGTTTCTTGTGCTTGGAGGCGAAAGAAAACGTATGCTTAATGACATGTGGTCACGAAACATCATGCTGGTCAGTAGTGCTTCAGGTTAATGTGCCCATAGGTTTGGTTTAAGCATTCATCTCCCATGTTACTAAAATAACGTAATTATTTCTCCGAACCAACGACATTGGAGGGTATTGCCGCTGGCAATGTGCTGGTCGTACGACGCTGAAAATCTACGCTACGTGACCTCGTGTAGATTCTGTGTCGACCTGCAGTCATGGACCCGGCAGCCCGAATGGACCTGACCCGTGTCAGGGGATCAAGCGTGACCCTGTTGACTATGCGGCAGGCGAGGAGTGTGGGGCAGTGTTCGCCCTGAGCACCACACTGCGGCAGCACATGAGCAGCCACGCCACCGAGAAGAAGCACGTCTGCGACGAGTGCAACTTCTCCACCAAGTACGCCAACCACCTGGTGGCGCACAAGAAGATTCACGCCGGTGAGCAGGGGACAGAGCGGTCGGCGCGATCTCCGCGCCCCTCGGCCGGTCGGTCGGCCCACCCGGGCGCACCCGCAGACTGGCCTATAGACGAACTGGGCTGGACGGACTAGCCGGTGGCGCGCCCCGCCAGAGGGCAGAGCTGTTCCGATCCTGGTGGGGAGTCGCGCCACGCGGAGGCTGGCTCAGCCAGCTCAGACGTGGTCGAGAGGCGCTGGCGCTGGGACAGTGCGTGGGACGCAAGCACGTGTGCCTTCTGACGGAAAAGCCGGACCGCTGTGTGGAAGCCGGTCACGCTGATGGTCTGTTTGACCAACGCACGTCTGTTGTCTGTTCGGCCATGGCGGCAGCGTGCCGCCTTACGCCGTCTGTGCTGTGCCTGGTGCGGGGGCGAGCTCTGCTGCCCTGTGGCGACCGCCGCTGACCCCCCCCCCCCCCCCCGGCAGGCGACCTGCACCGCTGCCAGCACGCCGGCTGCAGCTACACCACACCGAAGCGGTCGCACCTGCGGGAGCACCTGCAGGCCCACGCCAAGCGGCGCAACCACCACTGCCCGCACTGTCACCGCGCCTTCAACGTCAAGACTCACCTCAGCCGGCACCTGCGCACCCACGACGAGACGAAGCTCTACCGCTGTCACCTCTGCGACTACTCCGTGCACCGCAGCGACCGGCTCAAGAGTCACATGGCTAGGCACGCGCACTCCGCCACCAAGGGCCGGCGCGTCAAGGCGAAGAAGCCGCCGGACGCCGAGCCGGCGACGGTGGCGCCCCTGGCGACGGACTGGGGAGTCTTCTGACAAGGGACTGCGGTAGCCGCGTCGGTTAGGCTATTCTAACGACCAAAGAGGGATGATATTTGTTGACCAGATGGAATGATTTTTATATTTTCCGGCGTTACGACGTTCAGCTGACGGTGCAATGCTGCATAATGGCAGAATACATGAATGACCTCTCATGACCTGACGCGTGTGGACTGCGCGCGGTGAAGGACGCGTCATGCCATGTGTCTCAAACGCGCGTGAATGCCCGCCCTTTCGGCTCAGGTCATGTCTGTGTGGAGCGACTCCGGTGTTCGCCTGAACGCACAGCTTAGCTGCTGACAACGGGCTGTGACGTCACCCCGCTCGGCCACTGCCTCGCCCAGCGTGCGATCATAAGGCCGGCGGCTCAGTTTTAGCGGGCTGCCTGACTGATCTGCAAAACAGATCAGATACAAGCAGGTCTGAGGGTGCAAATCAGATCCTGGTACCCACTGCTGCGACGTGTTCACTGTCTTGCATAATTTGCAACGCTTGCGTAATCGTGCAAGCAGGATCTCGCCGGTCTAGAGTCGTGGCACCTGTTGTAGGTCTCCCAGCAGTATATCTTAAACAAATTATCAACAAAATTATGATTTGTTCTAGGTGTATGAAGTATCCTGACTATCTCCCAGGATCTAGCTTAGGGGTCGCACGGCTTTAATTAAAGGATTTCTTGCGGCTCCACACATTTTCCGAAAATCAATGAGACAGTACTTCACCTACAGGATTTTGTGCAGAAAATTGGAAATCAAAAGATTATAAGGGGTAAATGTAATGTAACATGATGTTGTTCGAAATACAAATCGGCCCGGTTAGGGGATGGGCGAGATCAAGATGGTATACCACAAATCGCGGCGGTAGGGATCATACACAATGGCCACGCTGACAACGCTGCGTGCAGGACAGATCGCAAGGCATTACAACTGGGTCGCCGACTCGGTCTTTTAGGTGCGGCTTCCTACCAACGTTCTTCTTGAAGTCTTGCTGCCACCTGGGTTCCACGTAGTGCAGGTGCACGTACGTTTCTCGCCTCAGTTCCCACAAAACTTATGTTACGGAAATATATTTCGCCACATACGTGTGTCGCTCACCATAGTTTCCCATTGGTATCTAGCGTACGGTTTTCTTTGAACACACATCTCGTTTGCGACCCTCTGTAAAACGTTTCGTGTATGCTTCTTACGGACTTCCATTTGCCCCCTTGCCTCACGCCTTTTGGGAGGCGACTTTAAACCCTGCCCATCTTTGTGGATCAGTGTTTTTAATGGTTCATGGACTCTTTAATCCCAGCTCGTCTTACGGTCCTTTACAATGTGGCGTTTGTCCATGACGGCTGTTTGACTATCTTCCACACGACGCACGGTCTAACTCGTACAGTCGTTGGTGAATGGCCGATTACCATACGATACTTTCTCAATATGATAATTTGCCGCTTCCATTACACCATGTCTCATGCTTTTTTTCTAAGACGAACGACGCCATGCCACGTTCGTGATCGCAAAAACGAAAAATTAATTCCATTATGTATTTTCCGCGCCATTCAAGACGACGGACAAGCCGAGCACCACAACGTCGCAACACTGCACACCAGACCTCCACAAAACCCGACACCAAACGGGACATCGCGCCGCGCTGAACGCAGGCGGCAACTGTGGGCGGAGCCACAAGCCGCCGGCCCCCGGGCGGCGCGAGAGTCTCACACTGACGGTAGTGGCCCGCCCTCCCGGCCATCGGCGGCGGCGGGCGCTGCGCTCGTCCCCTGCACGATCTCGTGGTCCTGCTGATCGTAGTACTCGTTCAGAAGCCGGTAGATGTACCAGGGCGAGGTGCCGCCCGTGTGCGTGACAAACAACGTGACCAGCTCGGGTGGCACGTAGTCGTAGACGGGGCAGGACAGCCGGGCGCGGCCCACCACCGCGCCCTCCGCGTACGACAGCACCGGCTCCGGCGACACCTGACACTGGAAGCCTTCCTGCTGGTCGCCGCGGTGGAACTGCGGCGAAAGCTTATAGGAGGGCGCGCACACGATCACCGGCACCGAGTGAAAGCGCGCGGCCAGCGCCAGCGCGTGTGTGCCACAGGCGGCGCGCAGTCCGCCGTCGGCCAGCACCGTCTGCGCGCCCAGAATCACCTTGTTGACGCGCGCCATCATGGCGAACACGGCCGACTCGGCGATCACCGTCACCTGCACGCGCGGCAGGGCGGCGAGCGCGCGCGCCGCCTCGTGGCCGCGGCAGAACGGCGCGCCCTCGGCCACGATCACGTGGAAAGCGCGCTCGCGCGCGGCGCGGCGCAGAAACTCGAGCACAGTGCGCGAGTGGCCGGCCGTCAGCACCACGTCATCGGCGTGAATGTGGCCGAGCGCCTCGCGCGCGATGTTGTCGGCGCTGGCGTCCAGCTCCGTCTGCAGCTCGTCGAGCGCCGCCAGCAGGTCGGCCCGCAGGCCAGCCACTTCCTGACTGAGGTCCTCGGCGGCGTCCAGCGGCCCGCCGGCCGTCAGCCGCCGGTGCAGCGAGTCCTCCTGGCTGAGCTGGCCGCGCCGCTTGGCCTCGTGCTCGTCGCGCGCCATCTTGAGCAGGCGGCACACGAGCGTGCCGACGGCCGGCTCGGTGGGCATTTCGGCCGAAAGGCGGCGGCCGGCGGCGCGCAGCTGGCCCAGCAGCTGGCTCGTCTGGCGCCAGCTGGGCTCGGCCACCAGCTGGCGCAGCAGCTGCAGCGTACGGTCGGCCACCTGTCGGCTGCCGTTAGCCGGCTTCTGTCGGCTCAGACCGACGAACTCCGACACCAGCTGGTCCGCCGCGGCGCTCAGCGTCTCCATGGCGGGCGGGCGAGCTCGCGAGCTCGTGACGACCTCACTGAAACACGAAATATCAGGGAGTGGTTACTAGCTATATTTGCTTTCGAGGGACAATTGGATGAAATGTGAAATGTACGCTTCAGGTGAATAGCATGGGCATGGTGACCGTACCCTGTGATAGACCATGGCGCTCCTTGAAGCCCAAGGGTTGAAACGTCGGGTAAGCAGGCCTTTTCGGGTACCCTATATTAATCACATCACGCCAGTTCATGAACGATTAGCTTTTCCTGGACGCAAAATGGCCTCAACGCCGACGCGCCCTCAAACGCCAACCCACACTACACACAACGACCGTCTTTTCTTCGGAATATGCGCATTCCTCTGGACCCTGACTACCTCCGCACGACATCATCTGTGTGATCACGATGACGCCGTCCAGAGCAGCTCGAGGACATGTTTAGGACTGAGGACTCGAGGAGGACAGCTCCCCGGCTAGTTTGTAATTCGTTTGCGGTGCGATAATTCTGAGGGAAGCGGGGCCAACACGTTGCCGGGCATGAAGCACGCTGCGCACACAATATCAAGATAGGGAGTCTGTGTTTATTGGGCGGCTCGCACACCGAAGCCGGCAGCATCACACGAGGCCCGCCCGGCCAGGATACCACCGCACACCGAAGCCGGCAGCATCACACGAGGCCCGCCCGGCCAGGATACCACCGCATACCGAAGCCGGCAGCATCACACCAGGCCCGCCCGGCCAGGATACCACCGGACACCGAAGCCGGCAGCATCACACGAGGCCCGTCCGGCCAGGATACCACCGGACAAGCGAGGAGAACGGCACGCGTCAACACGCCGTGTGCGGTAATCCAGCACCCACAACTGGACGACTTGATCTCGACTAATCTGGACTTTTCGGGGCACGCTGACGTTCGGTCGGACACAGATGCTACGACAGCGGCGTCGTTTGACAGCAGAAGTGCAACAATTCAGCCAATTTAGCAGCATTCAACGAACACTCGTTCAACATCGACAAGATAACAGCGAACCTCGCAGGTCTTGACAACGAGCAGCTGGACGACTTCCCAGCTAGGGTCACAGATGTCGTCTGGGCGGAGACGCGTGAGCTCGCACACACACCACCGACAGCCGCCCAAACCCCGCAGCCGCAGTCACAGCCGCGCCGGCTCGCCGGACGACATGCCCTCCGCCCAGCTTAAGTGTCACCGCACCCGGGCGTGGTCGGCGGGGGCGCAGGCCTCAATCAGGAGCGCCCGGAACCCGTCCGGCAGGTCATCCGTGGCCGAGAGCAGGTCACGCCACTCGCCTCGGAGCCGGGAGCCAGGCGCGTCCCGGCACTGCAACATCAGCTGCAGCAGCTGGTGCCGGAGCGCCGCCGGCGGCCGGCCCCCAGTCGTCACCAGGTCGTAGCCGATGCGGGCTAGCAGATATGACAGGGCCTGGTCGTGCGCGGAGAGGCGCGGCCGGGCTTCGGCCGCCAGTTGCGCCAGCACGCGCAGCACCGCCTCCAGCAGCGGCCAGTTCTCGGCAGCCAGCTCCACGCAGGAGGTGAGCACATCCAGCGTCAGCCGCAGCCAGCAAACGCTGGCCAGCCCCAACCGCGCCAGCAGCGCCTCCAGGTGGTCCAAGTAGAGCAGCTTCAGCACCGGCCCACTCTCCGTGGCCATGGTGAACAGCAGCTGCTTGGCGTGCCGGTGGTAGGCGGTGCTGACGAGCGAGCCATCATCCGGCGGGTCCTCTGTGACGGCCAGCGCGGCCAGCAGCGCCGGGTACGCCTGGGCGGCTACCTCCGGCTGGCGACCCTGGCAGAGTCGCTCCAGCGCCGCGCGCATCACCTGTGCGCGGCCGTACTGGCGCAACAGGGCACGCGGCACCAGCTCCAGTAGGCGGCGCAGGCCAGCGGCGCCCAGCAGCTGGTGACGCGGCTCCCAATCGTCGGCCAGCAGCAGCGTCGGAGGCAGCAGCGCCGGCAGACGCTCGGCCAGCGCCGCGCCGCCGGCCAGCCGCAGCAGCCAGGCCAGCGCGCCAGCGGCGGCCGGCAGCCGGCGCCACTCGCCAGGCCGGAGCTGCTCGGCCAGCGCGCGCGCCGCCCGCGCCGCCACGTCGGAGCGAGGGTCGGGCGCAGCGGCGGCCACCAGCTCGGACAGCGAAGCGGCGCCGGCGGCCGTCAGCAGGGCGCCGCCCAACTCGGCAGCGGCTCCCGGCTCGCTCCACGGCCCACCCGGCTGCCGCTCGGCCACCACCACCAGCGTCTCGGAGAGCAGGGCGCCCGCCGCCGCATCGCAGCCGGCCGGCAGCTGCATCAGGCGTTCCTTCAGCTGGCGCGCACCTTTCAAAAGCGTCGCCGGGTCGCGGGGGAAGTCGGCCGCGGTGTAAGGCCGGTCCTCTGGCAGGTGGATGGGAGGAACACGCAGAGAGCGTGCCAGGCTGATCGCCTCGATCAAGTCCACGTCCATTGCAGGTGTAGCACGCCTCTGGAAGTGATCATATCAACCCATCACTGTATCTGATCACTGCATAGATTTATGTGTTTGTCTCAGTGTTTGGTTTATTTCAGCCCACCTCTTGTGAACTGCTTCACATGAATAAAGAAGGAGGTATATGCCACATATCTCACAGTCACAGGCATCTCATCAGCAGCATGTCAGCCAATGAACATATAAAAACAAGGTGTTTCAGCCCTGGATGTTACCAATAAACCTCAACAAAATCCACTTTACAGTTCTTCCTGAAGCTAGCCAGTAGGCAGAACACCTTGTTGTAATAATCTTTGACATTAACTTGGCCCTTTAAAAACATCAGGAGCACCACCAGTGTCTTCATAACAACCTGATCCTGTGACCAAGCTCAATTTATGACAGTCCCCAATGCTGTCACGAGCCCAGGCCCAATGCAAAGCAGCCCACTTCCATTTTTTTGTATTTCAAAAGTTCGTGAAAAGAACCTCAATTTCATGGGGACAAATTCACTTTAGAGAGTACACAAAACCTCCTTAGCTGCCATCTTACAATGATATCAGGTTGTATCATGCTCTGCCAGCATCAGCTTACCATGTTAATTTTTACTACAACCATGGCCACTGTATGCTGCCAAACACATCTCTATCACATACTGAAGATCCATAAACAGAGGCAAATGCACAGTACAAACAATGGGAGCTAATCCAGGACATTGGGAACCTGCAGGCAGCACAAAAAATCATTGAACAGGACATGCCAGATGTTATCCATTAGCTGCTTTAGAGTGTTCATGTACTGAGCCTGCAGCACATGTATAACACACTCAGTTTGGGTTTAATGGTATCAAATTTTAAACTAACAGTTTATCTTTAAAAGAAATTTAGGTACTGCCCCAAACATCTTGGTATGCTTGATATGACTAGCAGACTGGCTCAAAATAGGTGTAGGTTGGCATAGGTACCTTACATTACAAGCGAGCACTGCACATAAACTGTCCTCTGTTAGGCAGCAAATATTGTAAATAATCATAAGACAGGTACATCTACAGACACAACACTCTGGACACACTGGTGCCATTGCAACAACATAGTCTATCTGCAATTCCCCAAGAATAGAGCCTTTTCCAGAAGGTATCAAAAGACCAGAAGCTAACCTAACTTAATCATCTCACCTAACCTAAGCTTAGCTAACCTAACCTAACCTAACCTAACCTAACCTAACCTAACCTAACCTAGCCTAGCCTAGCCTAGCCTAGCCTAGCCTAGCCTAGCCTAGCCTAGCCTAGCCTAGCCTAGCCTAGCCTAGCCTAGCCTAACCCTACTTAAGCTGGCCTGCCTGGCCCGGCCTGGCCCGGCCCGGCCCGCAGCCCAGCCCAGCCCAGCCTAGCCTAAGCTAAACATTGGATATCAACAAACTTCCCCACACAATCCCTGGCAACTCATACCCTATTGGAGTCAGTGCTATCAGTGTGATATACTGACATACTGACAATTGACTGACCTCTGCTGTTGTTGCGGTTATCAATATATTTTGTGGGTAAGATGATGTCCATGAAAAGTTCCTGTTTCATGATTATTTATAATGTCCAATAACTTAAAAACAGCAATTGGTGAACAAAAAAATGTTGCAATGTCAGGTACCAATGTAAACCAAGATTTCATATATATATATATATATATATATATATATATATATATATATATAATTAGTGAGATTACATAAAGTAACCAATTTTAATGGTCCATTACATGCTTGAGCATCAAAAGGGCTAATAAATTCTGTTAAAAATGGGTAGCTTGCTATCCTATTTGGGGCAGAATTATGCTGACCCAAAACACCTTGTTGGCATGTTTGACATGGGCTGCAGGCCTGTTGAGAGCAACACAGAGTATCTGAAATTTAGTTTTGGGTCTTGAGGGAGAAAACAAAAATTATGAAATCATGGCTGGTAGTAAGAACAAAATAGCCCTGGTGAACTTGCACTGCATTCACAGCTGGTACCCAAGGGCACTGTCGGGCAGCAGATGATAGTAAACAGCATGCTCTGGTTGGTCTCAGTGATCACAAAATACCATTTTAGATTGGCTGCTTGCAATTTATTGATTTTCCAGCTCCCTAAGCAAGTGCTTCCCTTCTAAGTCTATGCTCACACATCTTGTATTTTTTGATGCTATGGAGCTGATAGAAAATTGCTGATTTTGACAATTCTACTCTAAAGGTGTGAGCCTCAATTACAATTAATACTCCAATTGACACTGATACTCAAGATGTTGTGCACCTGTTAAAAAAATTCCCCAGAGCATGTTATGACAAATTTATAACTGAAATGTCATGCAAACCATAACATAAATGGGAATATCTGGGGCACAGTAGTTAGTGCAGCTACTTTCTAGCCAAGGTACAATCTTTCTCACCTAAGAGATAGATGCTGGGACAATGTGATACCCTCCTAAGCTCTTACTGACATAGATTTACTTAATTTGGGACCAGGGATGTAGTTTCCTATTCAGTTTGATGGGATGTAGCCCCTCCTCCAACTTTCAGAA